ATTTGATTCAGGAATCGCGCTCTCGCTTGGGACTTCCTTGCAATTTAGTCAGGATTTGCTTTCCCGGCGCTGTGGAGTTGCGCGCTGGAGACTTGCTTGCAATTTACGGAAGAATAGCCTTGCGTTGGAATTTCATGGAATTTGCCCAAGCGCAGCGCTCCCAACACCCAGGCACCCAGGAGTCGCGCCCGTAGTGGCCCCATTTGCATGCCCTTCGTGGCCCCGCTGTCGCAATTTGTGTCCCCCTCACTGTCCTACGTGGCCCAGTTGCTACCCTCAGTGGCCCCATAGTTGCCTTCTGTGGCCCCGCATTATCTGCACTTCGTGGCCCCCGCTCGTTCGCGCTCTTCGTGGCCCCATACGCAGTCCCTTCGTGTCCCCGCTGTCGCCCTTCGTGGCCTACGTCGTGTTCTTCGTGGCCCTGCTGTGGTTCTCTCTCGCTCTCGCTTTCGCTCGTCGTCGCCGTCGTCGTCGTCGTCGTCGTCGCCGTCGTCTTCGACGTCGTCGTCGTCGTCGTCGTCGTCGTCGTCGTCGTCGTCGTCGTCGTCGTGGTCGGTCCCCTGTCCGTCCCTCTTTGGGTCGGGTCGACGGTCCGCGGCCGCCCCGCCGATCAGCGCTGCCGCTGGCCAGGCCGACGGTCCGCGGCCGCCCCGCCGCTTGCCGGGGCCCGGCCTGCAGGGAAGAAAGGTATACCCCCAAAAGGGGGTTCGATCGAAGGCGAAGAGGGCGGGTACCGAGGGTTTGGGAAATACGCGTTGTCGGACACTCGAGCAGAGAAGGGCGAACGGTCTTAAATTGATTGTTGTTGTTGAACATTATTTATTCTAAAGAATAATTATTGTTGGGCCCCCTGGTGCGCGCCCCCCCTGCGCCGCCTAGGCCGCAGCTACATTTTCATCATTTTCGTGAGGAAGCCTCAGGTAATACGATGTCATCAAGATCCGGTTGTTTTGTTGTAATCCGTTTTCCCTTGCAAAAAACACTATAAAATGACATTTCTTGTTCTAATATAACCAAATTTCAAGAATCCCTTGCAACAAATAAGGTAAAGTGGACATTCGCGCGCGCAAGACGAAATCCTTCCAAAAGCTTAGTGTTCGGAGCGATTTTAACATAAAAACATCAAAAAACCAATGGTTTTTCAACAAAAAATGTCAAAATCTCATTCCGCGCGCTCTTGCGGATTCGTAGGAAAACCAACACTTTTAAACATTTCTGTCAAACGGGCTTTTGCGAGCAACTTTTTCGAACTTCTGCGACAACGGTTGCGCACCTGCCAGGGCCATCACCCCTGTCAAATAATACCATGCGGGACACATTCGTTTTTTCTTCGCGCGCGCACGCCGAATCTTCTCCCAACACACCGCAGTAGGGCTTCTTAAGAAATTGTAGCGCACGGCGCATCATAAAATCACACGAAATCAATCGCACCGAGGTCCTCGAAAAACAAACCTGCACGACGTTTCAAAATTCTAAACCCAGCGGCGCGCTGCTGTCGAAAACTAAAAAACCAATGGTTTTCCCCCATTAGATGTTAACGCCATTAGTTCAGCGCAGAGCTACTCTTTCGCGCACTCTCTTAGCATACCGGGTACGCGCGACTCTGCCAGACAATGACAACAACTACCCGTTGCGGATGACCCATGGTTGCGCGCCCTCAGAAAGCTGACTCGAGGCGCGGAGCCGAGAATAACCAAATAAGGTAGCATGATGAAATCATGTGGTATCATGTACCTATTTGCCAGCATATGCAAACAGATGTTCTGTGGAAGGCTTAACAACTTCTGTGGTTTAACAAGGCTTAAGAACTTCTGTGGGTGTACGAACGTAGGCTTAACAACTTCTGTGGGTGTGTACTCCACGCCAGTGTAGTAGCCACGGTCGTCCGCAGGCCACGAAGTGAAGAGTCCGAACGTCATAGGGCGGGAAGCTGGGTGTGGGTGGTGGCGAAGAGTCGTGTGGATATTCGGTAGAGCTTGCACTGCCCCCCCACAAAGTGGGGGTATTGGCTGGCGTCGCATGAAAACCCTGGCACTGGTGAGAACACTGAGCGTTCGG